TAGATATAGAGTAGATCACATTGTGTTAGGTCACATCTCAACCGCCAAACCAGTCAGAATCTTGGTCAGGGCAAGTTCCATAAAACCTAACTATGATAGAGCCTCTTATTTGAATGCTCAAATACGTCCATTGATACCTATGCTCTCCAGACTCCATTTGAGGAGAAAAGGAAGAAAAAGGAGATAATGCAAAAAGGGGCAGTGGCTTTAATTTAATATCATGAAAGTCAAGTTAGTCCTCATATTAATCTCAAAGAAAGAAATTAAAGTGCAGAAGAGGGAAAACAAGGGGAAATGAATAGCTGTTTATGCTGAATGAAAAGTATATAGTAGGGCCTAACAAACTTCATTAACTGTAACTTTCATTCACTATCAAATAATTACTAGCCACTTCTAGACTCTTCTAGGTGCTATTTGTGACATAAAGAATAATTTCACTTTTGATCCTTCAACCAGCCACATTTGCCAAAATATTCGGATTGCTGATCTGTTTATAAAGATGTTCAGATTCATCTTTATCCCACGTATTTCACTATATAAAAGTTATCCTTCTACTTTGCTCCCTGAGAGCAAGGAGGGTTATGAATTACTGTACACACATCCTAGTCATTTTGCCAACTAACATCATCAAAGCATGCTTAAAAGTGTGCCTACATTTATCATTCCAACTTCCCAGTCTAGTCTATGAAACTTAACTTTTGGGAATACCACTCCCCAGGGACATCACTTTTAAATTTCACTAATCTGCATATACTTTCGATTAGGCAGCCCAGTTGACGTGATTGAATAAAAATATATAGTCACTTGTAGCCTCTCAGAACACTGTCCCTTGACAGCTCCTGAGGTGCAGTCAGATTACTGACTTTGTCTATAAATATGAGCCTTACTCATGAGGAAGAGTAGCAAATCCATTTGGAATTTATTAGTCTATAAGCAACAGAAAATCCAGTTACAGATGTTAAAAACAAATAGGCATTCATTTATATCATGCAACAGAAATCCTGGGAGAGTTATTTAAGTGGCTTGACAATGTTATCAGAAATCCAAAGTTTCTCCATCTTTTAATTTGACGGTCTTTAGTATACAATCCATTGTCTTATAGAATTCACTTCATGCTTGCAAGTTGTTTGCTTTAATTCCAGGATTTCACTCATTACCCATTTCAGTTAAGAAGGAAAAAAGGTGGATGACCTAAAGAACCTGCCTCCTCACACAGAGCTTTTGAAAAGAAGCTTTCCCTACAGCCATCTAATTACCCAACTGCATTTTCGAATCATTGGTAATAGCTGAGTCATATGGTACACCTAGCTGCAAGGAATTACAAGAATGTGAATATTTTGGCTAGAGTAGGGAAAGGTCATTTGTAGTCATTTCATATTGCTCCTGTAAACCACAAACTTTGTTGTTGTTGGGTGCCATAGAATTGACCCTGACCCACAGCAGCTCTATACACGACACGGCAAAACACTGCACAGTCCGCTGCCAGCCTCACAATTGTTTCTATGCCTGAGCCCATTGATGGAGCCACTGGTTCAATCCATCTCTTTGGGGGTCTTCCCCACCTTTGCTGCCACCCCCCACTTTACCAAGAATGATGCCCTTCTCCAGGGGATACTATCTCCTAATATGTCCTAAGTATGTACGATAAAATCTTGCCATCCTTGCCTCTATAGAACACACTAGCCTTACTACTTCCAACATGGGTTGGTTTGTCCTTTCAGCAGTCCATGATACTTTCAATATTCTTCTCCAGCACCACAATTCAAATATATTGATTCTTCTTCAATCTTCTTTAATTAATGTCCAACTTTTACGTGCATATGACACAATGTGGAATACCGTGGCTTGGGGCAGGAGCACTTGAGTCCTCAAAGTAACAGTCTTACTCTAAATACTCTAAAGAGGTCTTGTGCATGTTACCTACTGCAATATGTCTTTTGATCGCCCAACTGCTGCTTCCATGAGCATTGGTTGTGGATCCAAGCAAGACAAAATCCTTGACAGCTTCAACCTTTTCTCCATTTATCATGCTAACCACAAACTTAGTGGTTTAAAATAACTACAGGTTAGCAGTTCAAAATTGGATCGCACTGAGTTAAAAATCAAGGTGTTGGCAGGGCTGCATTTATTTCTGAATGTTCTAGGGAAGAATACTTAGAACACACACACACACACACACACCTTTTCTAGCTTTTAGAGACCATCTAGGCTCATGACCCCTTTCATATTCAAAGCCAGGAATGGCCCGTTGAGTATTTTCTTGAGTCACATCATCTGGCACTGACATTTGCCTTCCAGTGTCAGGCTTAAGGACTATTGTGATTATGTATACACCACCCACCCTATTGTCCCCTTTATGAACGCAGTCATCGCAACAGAAGGTCATTTTTTTAGCGGTCTTATTTTCACTTACAACCTTAATTCATTTCTGTCACAAATTAGAACATATCGGCAGGCTCTGAAGATTAAACCATAGACATCTCTGTGGAGCCTTTAGTCCCCTTCCCAGTAAACACTTTGAATCACCATGATTCATAACCGTTCTACATGCAATATACATTAATCCCATGGCCAAATGTCCTATTCCATTGCAGCATAATTTTTTAATCCAAAGTTTCATTTTAAGTCTCACCTATTCAAAGCCCCCAAATATCATCATCTAAATTAGGTATGAGTAATATTTTGGATATGCTATGTTTTGGGACACCATCTTCTTCATCGGCAGACCTGTGAAACTAAACATATTTTCTTCTCTACCATAAGAAAGGCCAGGATAACAGTATAGACATTCAGTTCCAAAATGGAGAAAATGGAATGTGAAAACAAGGATTATGTTTTAAGCAATGTAGAATCCATTTAAGCAAACTCCTCTTCCTTTCCAGGTGTAGGAAAATTCCCTGTGGCTTACAGCTCTGCCAACTGAGATTGACACTCAGTTCTGTAAATTATCCTTTCTTTCATGATGTGCATGGTGTAGTTCTATCGATACATTTCTTGCCTACAGAATTTGAGATACAGCAACCTTCTTTCATTCTGTCTTTCCTATCCCTTACAGTACAAGCTGGCAATGTTTCTGGTCATGGGCCCTTTATGAGTGTGTGTGGGGGGGGGGGGGGCGTGGATGTTACTCCATTAGACAAAAGGCTCTTCTGCAGTTATTTCCTGGGTTAACCCATCTCTAGTCCTGGCTTCTGTGAGACGACTGAGTTACATGCTGAATCATGACTAAGTACTCTGAGCTTTTGCCTTTTTTTTTTTTTAGGAGTTATCAAAATGTTTTCTGCTGCATGCCTTGTTTTATCTTCAGAATATGCTTTCAAGTCCGTGAATCTTCTATTTGAGCATCTTTTGTAATCTGAATAGGCTGCATTTTCCCAAACCATCAACTCTTTGTTTCATCTTGCTTAACAGTTCTTTCAACCTATATAATCTCTCTCACATTTTACTATAAGCAATAGGAAGAAACCAGGCTGCAACTTCAACATTTTGTTGGAAATTTCCTCAGCTAAATGTTCAAATGCCTTGTTTACAAATTCTGTCTACCACATAACTGCAAGGTACAACTCAGCTAAGCTCCCTGTTACTGTATAACAAAGGTTTGTTATCCTCAAGTTTCCAAAAATATAGTCATCGTTTCCTTATGAGTACTTCAACAGTTCAACCAAAATCAAACTCACTGCTCTTGAGTAAACTCCAGCTCACAGTGACCCTATATGATAGAGTAAAATTGCCCTTTTGGATTTATGAAGCTATAAATATTTATGGGAACAGTAACCCTCATCTCTTGTCCATGAAGCTCCTGGTGGCCTTGAACTACCAACCTCATGTTGGTACCATCCAATGTTTACCCAACAGTGCCACTAGGGCTCTTTGGCCTCACCAATAGTGCCTTTAATATCCACATTTCCACCAATACTCAATTTTCAATTTAGTTGTTCTCTAGAAACTATTTCTCCACTGTGATTCACCCTTCTGATTCCTTCCTAAAAGGATTGCCACTATTCATATCTATTTTAACAGTTTGTTCAAAGTACTTCTAGACTTTTTCTATCATATCCAGCCTCTCTACCTGCTATCCAGTTCCAAAGTCACTTCCACCTTCTGAGGTACTTGTGATAGTAGCACCCTCCTGTCACATGCTGAAATTTATAGCCCTCACGGTGCAACCAGAGAAACAGCCAGTCGTAGATCTATGCTAAGAGTTAGCAACCCCTACAAAGTGCAACCTTCAGATCCATCAGAATCTGAATACTCCCTGCCATATAACACAGGGTTCACGGGTGTATTAGTCTAGGTACTTTGGAGAAACAAATCCACAGCAACTCACGTATAAGAGAGAGTTTTATGTAAAGAAAATGTGCATCACGAAAACATCCCAACCCAATGCTGCCCAAGCCCACAAGTCCAACATTAACCCATTAACCCAACACCAGTCCACAAAGTCCTCCACCTCACAAAACAGAGGCAATGATGCCGACTGCAGAAGGAAAGCTGAGTCAGTAAACGAATAAGCATCTCAGCACTAGCAGGGGTCTCCACACGGCTGCTCCAGCACCCAGGGCTGCATCGGGATAGGTCCATGTGGCTTCTCCTTGGGGATGTCTTGTAGGAAGTTAATCTTGCAAGCTGAAGCAGGGAACTGCTAAGGCAGCTGCACCCTGGTTCGACCATCACAAAGCAAGAGACCCAAGAACTAGAAAGGCAAGGCTCACCACCCATTTATCCCTCCGCCTTTCAATTAGCCCCACATGTGATTATTGGCCAGGTTGGCACAATTAACTAACTCAACGGGGTTTGGGGTCCATGATTAGGGTACAGATCATGCCATTCTATCATATCCCCAAAGGTGAGAGATTCCAGGAGATAAAGTAGTCCTTACAATAGAACTGATTATTTTTCCAAATTGTTCAACCCTTTCAACCAACAAAAGGAGCCCTGATTGTATATTTAGGGTCGTCTGTTCAAACCCACCAGGAGAAAGATGGGACTTTCTGCTTCCATAAAGATTTACAGGCACAGGGATGTTATGAGTTGAAATCTACTCAATGTCAGTGAATTTTTGTTTGTTTTCCAATCAACAATCCTCTGATAATGTCGGTCTTGTTAACTACTTTTAATTCTATAATGTACTTTATCTCCTAGAACAATATCTTCATCCAAAAGGCATATAGATATTGGCATACTGCACATGCAAAAAATCCCTCTAGGTCCAGTATTTGGAACTTATTGAGAATGTTCCTGATATACTAAAAGAGAATTTAAAGCAGCATGTTATTTTGTTCGAGAGTCTATTGGTCCTTAGAAGACTAAAACTAACTTCCGAGCAATAAAAAAATAACCTAGGACAAAAAGGAAACAACAAATTCTTATGCAATCTCATATAGTAGAAATATGCTTTTACAATTAGAACTATGCTTATTAGAAGGCATTATCATTTTATCCTTCTGAAATGAGTACTAGAATTTTAATTAGTAATATGAATTATGAACATTGTTAGCCAATAAAATAATAACCGGAAAAAACATATAGGACAACCAACCAATAAAGTCAAGAGTGACAGTAAAGAAAAAAACTGAAAATAAGATAGAATTAGATTATTACTGGGCTTTAAAAAGAAACCATGAAAGAGAAAAACAATATACACGGCAAGGGCGTTTCAGAAACCTAAATTATTAGGAAAGGCAAGATTTTCCTCTATTTTCCTCTCAGGCTCCTGAGGTAGGAGATTGGGGAAGATAGGCTTCAAGAATTTGAATTCATTGGTCCCTGAATCTCCTGTCAGACACACTTCATACTGGTAGCTCTGGGACAGGGTTCCTGTGCGGCTCACGTCCACCAAGTGGCTTGGGAAGTGTCCCTCAGGCACCGAACAGCTACCCTCCCAGGCGGCCCTCCTCCTCCTGCACAGTCTCACAGCCACAAACAGGAGCACAGAGCAGAGGAAGAGCGAAGACACCGAGGCCAACGCAATGACCAGGTAGACCGTGAGCCCGTCGGCCTGCGCCTGGTCGCGGGCGCCCTCGGGCCGCG